TATGAAACAACTCTATCATACTTTGACCCCTATAGCAATCAATATGAGTAAGAAGTTGAAAAAATCATTCATTTGTAAAAAATTGCAAATCAATTATCCGATATGCTTGTTGCAAGAAAAGAGACAAAGTCATATATGTTAGCAGAAGTATTTTAGCAAAATTGATGTCCCTACTAGACAATCTAATATAGCAAATTAATCTCAAATGCGTCAGAAGTGTGGTCTACTAGTTGGTTCAAAAGATTCTGTACTTTGAAAAGAAAAGTACAAGAGAAAAACCAACTAAAAATTTCAGAAGAAGTAATATTAAAATAAATCAAATATTGAAAATATGGTTTCGAAAAATCACAATCATACGAAAATAATGAGATTTCAATAAATTATATATTTATCTTATAAATTATGAGAACGAAATAATATTATTATAAATATTATTTTTACATTTAATGTGTCTCTTGATATTATGCAAAATGAGGATTTTAAACTACAGTCTGTTAGAAACTATCAAGATGGAAAGAAGTCATACAGGCAAAATTGAATTCTTTAGAAAAACGAAGAGTATTTGGACCCGTAACTCGAACACTTTAAAATGTAATCCCTATAGGATATAAATGAATTTTTGTACGAAAGAAAAATAAAAATAACGAAATTACAAGATAACAAAGTTTGACTCGTAGCTCAAAATTTCTCACAAATACCATGAATGGATTATGAGGAAACATATTCTCCCATAATAGACATCATCACTTTTAGATTTTTAATTAGCTTGAATCTGTCACAAAGGCACAATATGCGTCTTATTGATGAAGTGACTGACTATTTATATGGTTCACTTGATAATGACGTATATATGAAAGTTCCCGAAAAACTTAAAGTGTCATGAATAAACGATACGTGCATGAAAAATCACGTTCTTAATTAAATTACAAAGATCATTAGATGGATGGAAACAATTAGATGTATGTGGCATGACTACCTCAACAAATATCTATTAAAGGAATGCTATAAAAATGACTACGTCTGCTCGTGTCTTCATAAAGAAAAAAATATTGAATTTTTCAATTGTGACAGTTTATGTTGATAATTTAAATTTAATTGGAACTCCTTAAGAGTTCGACAAAACTGCAAATTATTTGAAAATTAAATTTAAGATGAAGATTTGGAAAAAAATCAAATTCTGTCTCAAATTGTTGATTGAACCTTTTTCATAAGGATGTTTTGCACATCAATCTACATACAATGAAAGTCTTGAAACGTTTTTATATGGATAATGCACATTCATTGGCATCACATATGGTTGTTCAATCGCTTGATATGAAAAATGATCAATTTCTTCCACTCGAAGACGACGAAAAGGTTCTTGATCATGAAATATCATACCTTAGTGCAATTGAAGCATTAATTTATATTGAAAACTGCACTCGATTAGACATAATTTTTTTCTGTAAATCTCTTTACAAGAAGCTTTTCACCGACTTAAAAACGTTGGAATGGTGTTAATCATATTTTCTGTTACCTAAAGGGTACTATTGATTTGAGATTATTTTATTCTCAGAAGTTGAAATTTACTTTATTGGGATATATAGATGCAGGTTATCTATTTGACTCACATAAAGCTGAAAAACAAATACGATAGGTGTTTACACATGGATGAATAGTTGTATCATGGAGATTTGTGAAGCAATTATTTGCAGCAATATCTTCAAGTTATTTTTAAATTATTGCAATACATGAAGCATGCGTGAGAATGTGTATGGTTGAGAAACATGACCCATCATATCCAAGAATCATGTTGATTAATTTCAATAAAGCAAGTCCAACAATTTTGTATTAAGACAATATAGCTTACATGTACAACTCAAAGGAGACTATATAAAAAGGTGACACGACGAACCATATTTCTTCAAAATTCTTTCATACACATGAGTTTCATAAGAATGAGACATCTAAGTTTAACAAATTAGTTCAAGTGATAATGTGGTTGATTTATTCACAAAACACTGCTAACATTTATATTCAAGAAATTGGTTCACAAGATTGAAATGTATCGACCTAAAGACTTTCAATGATCAATATTTGGGGGAGTAGCTATACTTTTTTTTTTCCTTAACTTAAGTTTTATTCCATTGAATTTTCCTAATAAGATTTTTATGAGGCGTTATTTATCTTTACTACTTCAAAATAATTGTATTTTTTTTCCTTCGTTTGGTTTTTTTATCTCATTGAGTTTTTATCAAGCAGTGTTTTAATGAGACGTATTTTATAATGTGTTATTTAGAGAGTGTTGTAAATGATAAGTTTATTAATGAATGATAATAGTATGCATCGCAATGGCATCATTGATGATTCTCATTATGGTACACATAAGCCTATTCACCTTTATTCTCTCCTCTGTTTCACTTTCCAATGGCATGGAGATACTTTTTTTTATTAAGTACCAATGACCAAGAACTCTAGTGTTAATGCATAATTGTTGATAATATTTATTACTCACAGGGGTCAAAATTTTATAAATAATTCAACCATACTCGGATAAGCTTTTTAATTATCCCGGAAAAATCTAATTCAGAGAATTTAGTTGGTAAAATTAATTTGGAATGAAATTCTTGAAATTCGATAAATATCAAAAAATACGGGTCTTAGCCGGCTGCCGACTCTGGCTTTGTGCTACATCTTAAATAAGCATATAGTATGCTATATTCTGCTCTCGAGTGTAATACTTATTCTTACATTATTCATCATCTTTATGTGAGTGAAGATTTAGCTCACGTTTGGTAGAAATAAAAATAAATTTTTTAATTAAAGTTAAAAATAATATTTTAATTATATATTTTGTGGATTTATAACTTTTCAATCACATATTTCTTTTTGTTTTAGCAGTCAAAAAATTGTCATCTAATCTTCAAAACAAATTATATTCAAAACATTGAATCTAACATCACATCAGATAGCAACATTAGTGACATTTTAAGTTCAATTAAATGAATCACATAATTTTACGTTTAATTTCTCATGTCATATAATGTTACATAGACAGACATTATTTTTTAATTCATTTTTAGTTTGACTAAAGCATCCACGTGGAACATTAAGCTAGTTGACTGAAGTCCACTTTGAATTATCTACCAAACCAAATCTCAATCCTTATCGATTTCCTCAATGGATAGAGATCAACAAATTTTCTATTAGAAAGTTTTTTATTTTGCGTATTTGTTTAATTGATACTTAAATGTCAATTAAAATGTTTTCCACTTTTTAATTTTTAATTACTTTCACATGTGAAAACGTGTTGCATTTTTCATACCATAAAACTTTGAATCTTTTGGGGCCATTTATTGCACTAAAAATGAAAGTTTTAGCAGAATAGGTGGTTTGGATACCATAATAATAATAATAATAATAATAATAATAATAATAATAATAATAATTATTATTATTATTATTATTATTATTATTATTTTTTTTTTTCACAATATAGATCCGAAGTTGATGGTGATGGATATATTCATTTGAAGTTTTGAATAATAATAAATTTTAATCAAATATTTCATGGGATCTATATTTTCAATTACACATTTCATTAATTTTAATTAAAATCGATTGAAAATCTTATTTTAATCCCACCAAACGGAGGCATATTTGGTGGTACAACAATTTAAAAGGACTATATTTTTGATATCATCCTACTCTGTATTTGAATATGCACAAGATATTTAGTCTGTTCGGTGTAGATTAAAATTAAAAATTTAGTAGATTTTAAAAAAAGTTGATGAAATGTATGATTAAAAGTTACGGATCCTATAAAATATGCGGTTGAAATTAATTATTGATTTTGACTTAAAATATTTATCAAATTTTAATCTACACCAAACAAGGGGCCTAAATATAATTTTGATTTTATTTATTTTTCTTGAAATTATCATAATTTTCAAAAAAACCTTCAATATCCCCCGCCCCCCAAAGGTCCCCGGATAGTTTAAGTCGCCTTTGCAATCAAATACGAGAGTGAGGAAGGAGTACCAAGCTACTAATAGCATCGAGTCATTGAGACACAAGAACGACTTGTCTTGTTTTTTATTTTTTTAGACGAAAATTTTCCATTTGACATAAAAGACCAAAACTCACTAGGGATGTAAGTGATCCGATTTAAACAGTTTCTACATATATTAAAGCCAAACCGTTTAAAAACACCGAAGAAAAACTCAAATTATTTAAAACTATTTGAGAATAATTCAAACCTAAATCTAACAAATTGGTTCGATTTTAAATCGAAGTTTCTTCGCTTATTTTTTCTTCTAACTAGGCCACTTAAAACATTACTTTTTTTAATGATTACAAAATATCTTTAAGTGTTATTGGTAATGAAACAAATAAATTATACATATCAACTCTCACTCAACTTATGAGGATAAATAGTATCTCTAGGGCGAAAGAAGCGAAACTTGTTCTTACATTGTATCCCCTCATGGGATAAGTTACAACATTTGCAATGTGAAGAGGGCTTAGAGTCTCATGTATGAACTATGAACCATGATTGGTTTATCGAGTTTGTAAATGAAAATTGATCACACTATCCATATTTATATCGAAATTTTAATAGTTATATCTTATTTTGAAGGTTAAAATGATAATTTATCGATACGATCCATGTCCAATTTAGACGAGTTTTTGGCAAAACTATACGCTTTTTAACTTCATTTTTTAAATTTGTAAAATGGTCTGATTTGATTTCAAGTCATAGTTAAAATAGCGAAATTTAAATTAAACTATTTTTCAGCCGTATGGCTTGATTAAAAATCATTTTATTGACGAGTTCACGTGATATCAAATATGACCATATGGCAACTTGTTAGAAACTAAAAAAGAAAATATGAAAACGTTTTTCATTTTCCATTTTATATATTTATTGTTCATGAATGAGAGCCCAATTCAAAGACGATTTCTCTTCCGTCTCAAAGTACAAAACCGACATTCTTTAATAATTCCAAGGGGCAAAAGATAGATTACATGTAATACAATTCTGGCATCATCATCGGTCAAACGGTGTGAACTTAGCTATACTAGTCTCTTCTTCCTTGTTTCTTTTGCATTCTACCTTCAACCAAAGCAAACAAAAAGCAATTTCTTCTGCAATTTTTTTATGCAGATTGTCGATATTTACTGCTCAAAGGTGACCCTAGTGACCTGGTGTGTGTGTCTCTGTGTGTGTGTGTATATATAGATAGATAGACAGACAGATAGAGAGAGAGAGAGAGATAGAACACTGTTACATTGAACAAGTTTCAAGTTTGATGTGCTATACAAAGGTGGATGTAAAGGTTGACCTTTGAAGTTATATGTGTTTGGGATTTGGATCTTGTTAATTTGATCAGTTTGGTACATGTTCTTAGTATCAAAGGTGGCGAATCCAGGAGACACTGGCGAGTTTATCAGATTTCCGGTGGTACCAGGTAATACTGAAACCACCGCCAACCCAACCACCACTGCTCAGCCTCATCAACCAGCACAATCATGGGAGAGAATGCAACAACCAGACTTTCTACTATCGGAGGAACCCATGTTTTTTGGATTCGGTCAGACGAGGGAGATGCCTGCGATGGTACCGACAATAGCCGCCCCGGGACAGACGTACGGGGAATGGAACTTTAAGCCTGATCCAAGTGGAACTGGTGGCCCTGGCAATATTCTGTATCCGTCTTCGTCGCCTTATTCTTCCTCGAGTTCTGGCTCTTGGGTTGGACAGAAGAGAAGACGTGATCAAGATGATAGTGTTACTCAGTTTCCAGAGCAAGTCCAGAGGATCTATGGCGGGTTTGGGGAATCATCTTTCTCTGTCAAAACTGGTTAGTTTGATAAATACTGTTTGATCCTTAAAAAGTTTTCAACTTCAGGGTCGATGATGTTCAAAATTGACATCGAGTTCCTCCAGTGCTACTAACAATACTCTTCGAAACACTCTTAACGATCGAGTAAAAAAGGGAGACCATATGATTGCATGTGAAATAACATTGAATTGAAATACCTTTGTCGAAAATCCATCGCTAGCATGTGAAATAACATTGAATTGAAATACTTTTTGACGGAAATCTGTCACAATTTTGTGGAATACCTGTTCGTTCTTTTATTTTTTTTATATTTGGCTTCCAGAGGTGGCTGAAGCGGGCGATACAAGCGTTGCGCCACCACCTACCACTACCATGGAACACCAGCCACCGCCGCCAGAAACCTCAACAGAAAACCAAGGAGAAAGAAGAAGAAAATATAGAGGGGTAAGGCAGAGGCCATGGGGGAAATGGGCAGCAGAAATAAGGGATCCACACAAAGCTGCAAGAGTATGGCTAGGTACATTTGAAACAGCAGAAGCAGCTGCCAGAGCATATGATGAAGCTGCTTTCAGATTCAAAGGCAACAAAGCCAAACTAAATTTCCCTGAAACTGTAAACTTGCCGCCACCACCCACCACTACCCTAGCAGCGGCACCACCACTACCACCAGCATTCTTCCAAAGTCAACCTTTTCAAATATCTGGAACTGCCAGGGACTACTGGGGATACTCACAATTACTTCAGAATACAGCTGATTTACAACATCGTCAACCCATAAGCTTGTCAGAACAAATGCAGCTCTATGCTTCATCAATTGCTGCTTCTTCTTCATCATATCCTCTGCAATTCCCCAGTCAACAACAGACACTTGATTCACAGACACAGGGAAATCAAACTCAAGAAAACACACCAAATTATCCTGCACCACCATGGACCAGTTCTACCCACAATCCTTCATCATCTAGTTAAAGTTTTATACTTTTCTTCTGCTTTTTCCTTGAGAATTTTGGTGGCCATATGAAGTTTATGCTTAATTACTGATTATAATTTTTTTTTTTTTTTTTATGATTATAGATATGTAGATAAGAGCAGGTTATAAGTTTCTAGATGGGATTTGAATGTTAATCTTGTAAGGAAATTGGTAGAAATGATCAACCTTTCAGCTGTCTCTTTTTTGTTTTTCAAGTTGCATTTAATTCAAAATTTTCAACTTATTTTGGCCAATGATTTGAATCCAATTTTGAATTGTTTACCGACCATAAGCACTCCTATTGGCGAAAATTTATTTTTTAATTCTGAAAAATCTACTAATTTGCAAGAAGTAGGGTTGTTAACGTGTTTATTTATCAATAAAATATTTGATCAGGCGTAGTTGAATTGATGATTAAATTTATTCAACCATGCTACATGTACACTCTCATTTACACTTTTCTTTACACTCTTCCACGTGGTAATAGCTACACTCTTGATTTTAAACTAATCTATCACATCATTGCACAAATTTCGTTCACATAGGAAGGAATGTCATCCAAGTGATAAGAGAAGATGTACATATAGCATTATTCAAATTTATAACCAATGATCGAACTTCAATTTATTGCCGTGGATCATTGAAAACGTAAGTTTATTCATTAATTTCACACCTCGATGGTTAATTTTAAATTAATTACTGAACTTCATTTATTGTAAAAAAAATCCTCACTCTTTCAATTACTAATAAATATTGTTAATGGCTTTCTATTTTCCTAATACATAAACATAATAATCAAGACGTAATAGTTTTTGTCATTTCTCTTGATAATGTTGACCTTTTAAGATGAAATTTTAAGATACAATGTGGTACTCTGGATTCAAACAGTATAACTAGTTATTCGATTCGTCTACACTGAAACGAGTAAAAAATTATTATTCTTAAATGAACAAAGAGATTTCTAGTTGATGAAATCCTAATAATTAATATGTTAAATTTTGTCCAATTTTGTGGGGGTCCGTTGGCTTAAAATGGAGGATTTTGATGCAATTGTTTGATGGTGACCTACCTTAGATGTCATCTTTGGACATATGATGACAAAAATTTAATCAAGCTAGTATCGATTGATGTTAATTAAATTTTGTTTGTTTTTTATTAAAAAATGTTTTGAGGGGCAATATCTTGTGATTGGAACTCTCATTTTTGTCAAGTGACTTTCGCTTATAGTAATGCATCGAGAATAATAGACGAGCCATTTAATGAAAGAAGGAATAAAAGAAATGATACGTTGTTAAGTCGAGCTATGTTAATTTTCTTTTTTAAAAGTGAATTAATTTTTATGTAATTATTATTTCTATGGTTTCAAGTTGATTATAAAAAGGTTGAACCCCAACCTTAGGGGCTCCCACCGACCCTGCCCTGAGCCATATGAAATTATTTACCTAATAATAAAAAAGTACAAGTTTCTGAAGTAACAAACAACATAATATTAAAACTTTTAAATGAAGCAAATATCCCAAATAAATAAATAAATAAAATATATTTTTCATAGCTCCTTAAGACAGAAGTTAACGTATGAAACAAGAATTGGTTGTCACTTTCTATCTCTATAATGTCACTCGGTCGAGAATGAGACATGAAATAGATAAATAAAAGTTGATGTCACAACCCACGCGGGGTAACACGTGACTTTGGCTGGGAATTGCCGTTTTCTTACATATTAAAAAAAAAAAAAAAAAAACCCCATAATTTCAAAGGAAATGATACTATTTAGCTCATAGTATCTTAGATTGATGTTGTAGTAACTTACCTTGAAAATTAAGTCATATTGATTATAATTATTAACATAATGATGGATTATATCCTCATTGTATTCTTATCATTATACATCATCGACGATGGTTTTGATTAAGAGATAGTAAAGAGACTTACTAATACAAAATTGGACTAGGTATTTAAAGTGAACAAATTTTTTGGTTGAAAATCATCGATGAAAGACAATTTACTAATTAATTAAAGATTAGGGACAAAAAGTGCAACGTGACGAAAAAATTAGACAAAAATGTTATATTAAATAGAGATTAAGAACTTTTCTTGCAATTAAAATTTGAGGCATTATAAAAATGGGTTTACAAATAAAAGTCTTGTGTACCCACAAATTTCCTTATTTACTTTTAAATAATTTTTAGTAGGTTTTATTATTAAATTTTAATTCGACTATTGTGAATGATTAATCATTACTCGATCCATAGTGCCAATTATCAAGTTATTCAACTTCCCACTGATCATTATTTAACTTCCACTAATCTTGTAAAATAGATTCAAGCTCTAAAAGAATGTTTTAAGAAATTAGTGGGATGACTCAAGAGTAACTAGTCTCGACCCATGGTCTTCCTCCACAAGCCATTGCTCCGTCAAGCTTTCACCCATTGTAGAAAATTTCTCGTAGGAGTCTAGATCACGTCACCACTCCAATTTTGGGGTATAAGGAGCGCTCAAAGTGATCATAGCAATTTAAAGCTGGCTCGAAGTGGTCATAGCAATTTAAACCACTATGCTTAACGAAAGATATACTGTGCATCAAGAACGAATAAAAGAGAAGAAAAATGTCGATCCAAACGCTAAATGCAATGAATTATTAATAAATTTACACCCAGATTGGAGCAAATAAATAACAATCACGCCAGAAAACTGAAATCAATGAGAAGGAAGTTAATTACACAGAATGAAGCCAGTAGAAAAAGCACACCATTACACATCAATGGACTACCAGATTAAGGTTAGAGGAGGGGAAAAAACTGACAAGGCACTTTCCCAGTCTTCCCACATAATTGTAAAGACATTTCTATTCACCGTTTTTGTCAAAAATAGATTCGACCCAGCCATTCAAGAAAGATGACATGATAAAAGCAAAATTTAGCTAACAAAATCAAATTCACTTTCCGTCCGTGGGTGGGGAAGAAGGGATTGATCGACTGATCCGATCCTTCCAAGAGAAGAGATAGAGATAGAGATTTTGCATAGATTACCACACAGATGGCATCTTTCCTCCCGAAAATCAGAAAGCATCAGTAGTGTTATCCAAGTGGACAGCTCCTTCCAACTAATGTACATGTCACCGATCGATCGATATATGCCCCCCCACCGGTCCTTCTGTGCTCATTGGCACGCTTCTTTAGGAATAGAAGAACTTTTAATTTCCGTGACATTTGAATTTGTGCCAACGACCTCGGTTGCGATTTCCCAGCCACCACTACTTCTCCCCCAACTGGAGTGCAAAGTGTCAGGTTGCACACTGGGGCCTCGTCTATCAGAACCAAGAGCAGAATCAACTTCCGAGGAATTATGATGCGGCACATCACTCCCTCTGCCGCGAATACCTGCTTCTATGTCTTCAATATTATGACGCTGGGAGATCTTTAAAAGATCTCCACCTATGTCCATATCATCTTCTACCTTCATGCGACGGTCATCTGTATCTTCAGCTTCCCGGGTGGCGGGGAAAGTTGATCTTTGGGCCTCCTCTTGTACAAAGGCTCGGAAGTTGTTCTTCGAAGGTTTCACCTTCGTACAGAACACTTCAAGAAAGTTATTTAAACAACCACGATCATAAACATTGATTCGGTTATCAGCTCTATATCGGAAATTCTCATAGGTCGTCTGTCAAAAGATGAACAGGAATAAGAAGTTTAAGAATGCAAAAAATGTCCTGGAAAACAAAACATCCACACATAAATTCAGAAATCTAATTATGGTTTGAAACAGCGGATGACAGAGACATATATCCCATCATTTAAAGAAATGAACTTGTCAATACCCCTTATGCCCATTGCTATCAATCAAGCACCAATAAAAACAGCAATTCAATAAGAATACACACAAAGGCACAGTCGTTATCCAGAAACTTGGTGGAATATTTAGTAAAAAGATACTGAGGATGCACTTCCAAAATTATATCTGGCCAGTTATGTACCATGAACTTGTCGTTTTCTTATCTGGTTACCTAGATGACAAATACAGAGGGGTTACTTGGAAGAGTTGTACGGTACATAACTGGCGATATTATACATGTACGATAGTTCACCTTGAACAAAAAAGTTATGCGATTAACAATCTTTTTATCTTTGTACAAAGACTTGAAAGAGACCACTGTGTAGCCTTCCAAACAGGATTCAGTAAAAACTTTCCGGTTTTTTCTACGTATTTCAAACAACTGCAGAACGCCCAATTAATATTTAATTTCACAATGCAACATTCATAAATTAATCTGAAATATTTGGCCTTTTACCAGCAAAATTTTCCCCGTAGTCAAACACAGACTCGTACATGACCATATAAAATTTTCAGAAGCAGCTTACAGTGAAGTTATAATATTCCTCAGTTCAAACCTAGTCTACTAATTACTAATCAGGATTCACTAACTATATTTAGGACTTTGATTCGCAGGCTAGTCTCCCAAACATAGTTGGCAACAATTACTCAAATTTAGAAATCTCTTCTTGAATAGTAATCTAGTGCAGCTTATAAAATTTAATTTCTGATGTAATTTGAGCCTTCCAAGATTTCACTGTCAATTGGCTCATGTGTTGCATGCTGTTTTATGAGCTTTTCAGAATTGGCGTAATTTTTTCTAGGTTTTCTTTGTTTAATGTGGTTGATTCTGGTTATCAATTATTCTCTATCCTAGTGCACCTTAGTTTCCAATTTTTGGAACTTGAACCATTAACAAAATTTCAGCATGTATAAACTCAAGTAAAATCCTTCAAATTTCTCCCATAAAATATTGTGTGAACGTACAACACTTTATATCAAAATAAACGAGGTATCTTATCTCAATTAATTTTTAAAGTTGATTCTAGTCATCCTCTGATAGCTTTTTCTTTATATAAAAAGCTTTGTCTACAATATTTTTGCGAACATGCACATAACACTCGATATAAAAGGGAGAAAAACGGAGAATTAGAAATTATATAAATAGGACTGGCAACAAATACAAGGAATTTGTAGACACAAAACAAAGATCGTGAGGGTAGGAAGCAAATTTTAGATGCCATCACTTCTGACCAACCACCACCATAAAGCGGGATGAAACTCGCATGAAGCAACATTTAGATGTCATTACTTCTAACCAACCACCACCATAAAGTGTGATGAAACCGGCACAAGGAACAATGGAAGTTAGAATAACTACTGAAGGCACCAGGCAACAACTAAATTTAAAACCTCAGTACCACCAAAAAAAAAAAAAAAATTACTAATGAGGATGGACTGCAAGGGTTCTCAATCATAAAATTTTTTCCCTTTCTCAATCCATGCCCCCATACAAAAAAGTGAAGACAAAACAACACATAGGAAAAAGGAAAAAAGATAAGTGGGAAAAAGATGACCTAGATGAATGGGGGAAAAAGGAAGTTATTTCCATACACTTCCATTTCTGTGTCTAAATCATACATTCACGGCCAGACCGAGAAAAACTCCCCAGAAATGTATAATTCTCTTTTCCTTGGTTACCCATTGCCTGAAAAAAAAACCTAGACAAATGGAGAAAGGTAGTTATTTCTTTACACTTCATTTCTGTATCTAAATCATACATTCACAACCAGGCCAAGAAAAGCTCTCCAGGAAGGTATAATTCCCTTTTCGTTGGTTACCCATTCTGAAACCCTCATCCCAGCTACTTCCCCCAAACCGTCAAATCAGGGGAAAAAAAAAAGAAGTGAGGAAGTAGCTGTTCCACTTTCGCCAAAGGGTAAAACAAACATTTTCTTCTCCCACACACTTTTTAATATCTCCAAAAAAATGTAGCCAAGATACTAAGTTTAACACACCATTAAGCAACAGTGGGACTGGAACAAAACTAAAAGGCAGGTAGACAGAAAAGAATGTGTACAAATAATATTAGTCTCAAATTGTCTCCATAATATCTTGTTTAGAATTGCCAATCTCAAATCAACAAATATCCCAATAACTAACATAAAACATGGTGACAGACTATCACACATGTATAAGAGAAGAGTTGTTGCAGTGCAACAATAGCTACACATTTAACTAGATATAGTTCCATATTCTAAATAGTTTATGGAAATCTCTGACAAACAAACTAAACAACCTAATAATAATGAAAAGAAATTTAAAACCTAAGAGACAAGAAAAAAAATCTCAGACAAACAAACAAATGGAAAAGCTAGTATTAAACAAGATAACAACCTAATAATAATGAAAGAAATTTAACACCAAGCAGATAAGAAAAGTAACTGACCTGATTTGTGCTTATCAGATACAAGTGAAAGCCAGTTAGTCCACCAACAAACCACAGGGAAATAAAACAATATGCCATTAAAATCACAGATACAGGAGATTCTTTCATTGCCTTCCAGACTGTGCTCTGATGGTCGTCCATCTGAATCTTGATGTAAAAAGCAGATATGGCAAATACGTAGATGCAAAGAAGTGTAGCGGAAGCAACAAAACAAAAGAAATAACGGTAGTTCCGCTGCACATTCAAGGGAAGGAAAGTACTATAAGAATCAATTAGGGTAATGGTGCAAGGAAGCAGCTAAAAAATGAGAGAGAAAACAAGTAAAAAGGTCAATGAGAAGCAAGAGCAGGAGAAGAAAGAAACGAAAATAACATTATCAGTCGTGAAAATCATACCAATCCTATACATTGACCCACCCAAGGGCAGTGGTGATCAAAATGCTCCACACAGTTGTTACAAATGGAGCAGTGCGAGCAACGAGGAGGGCGATACAGCATGCAGGTATCACAGTATTTAACTCTGACAGGGATCCCATTAACCATTACTTCTTTCGTTCGAGGGAATTGGAGGCTTGGTGTTTGTCTTCCACCAACCTCCATCGATGCTGAAGTGTCATATCGAAACTCTTCTTCAGGTGGATGTGAATTACGGGGAACAATACCAGGATCCCGAGATGATGTAAGAAGAAGAAGTGCCAATACCTATCAAAATGAAATAATGAATTATTCCAGTGATACCTAACTTTAGTTTATTAAAAGCAGATGCCTACCTTAAACATTCCACTTAAAATAATATTCTGCAATATCCAACTTAGACAGCCTTTCACTACAATCTAAGCAGCCATTCAGCAAAGTGCACGTCGTCACCTAAGACATCCTATGCACCCACATTAGACAGTACTATTAAGAATATTTGTGGTCTTTCCTGTATTCCCTATCATGCTGTATACAAAAAGACATTTTATTACATGTAAGAGTGAGAGGTTGGTAGTACACAAATAAAATGCTGTTCAAGACCTTCTTCCTTTTTGTATGGACTTTACCAACTTTATACTAGCATAACCAAGAGGCCAAACTGACCTAATCAATAGAACAACCCAAACTAGCTTAAAAAGCTATCATTTTACAGTCCAAATCAGCAATGCACGGCAGGACTTAGCTATATCAAAACAAGTGCTGGAACAGTGACATGACATCATCTGCCAGCTTGACTCATATGAAGTTTAGAATCTTCTGGTCTTTGTTAACTGACCAGCATCTTAGAGTCAATGACATACCTTCTGAGAGACGACTTAAGTTGTTCAAGCATCAATTATAAGGTTTCTTGGGTGTTTTAAACAATTTAGTGGTTCTAGTCTCAAATGTAAATATTAATGTATTCATATAAAAATTGAATTTGAGTTCATGATCCACTGGTTCATAGTTCATCAGGTGTGCCAAATTCAAATTTAAAGAAATGGAACCAAATTGATCATATACTATCCTGAATACTACCAGTTAGTTAAATAGCATAAACTATATCCACTGATCAATGCCTAGCAAGTTCATCTGAGATCATTCGAGATTGAGCCATCCGAATTTATTAATAAAATTAAGATGAGAAGACACCCTATCATAAACACAAAATACACATTGCTTTTGAAAATCCTAGTGGTCAGACCCTCTAGCTTGAAATAGCCTGATCACCTCTAGGGTTTTAGAATCCAGAAAATTATCCCCAATCAATGAGTTGTTTTCTCACTGATTGACTTGGACTCTATGTACACAGTTGCTGACAAAGCATTGCTGTTAGATGTCCTAGTTTCACATCCTTCATACTTTTCTTTGCTGGCTCCAGCATTTGAAACTAGATTCAAAGCTTCCTCGAGTGCACTTGCTTTGCATCTCTAACATCTCTTACAAATTCATACCTTCTACCATGAACTATGCTTTCCCTTAAAGACCTATAAACTAGTTTACAAGTATTTTGAGTACTTGAAAAAATGTAAACACAGATCTCATCAATCAATGAGTAAAGATTAAGAGAAAAATTAACAGTTTGGATGTCAATATAACCTTACCCATATAAGTAATGAGTGACTAGGTAAGCCTTAAATTCCATACATCAGTCATCAGCAAAGAAATTAAGGCATTTTCATAATAATTAAAGCAAAGTAAAGTATTGAGTAAAGGATTTGAGGAACTAACATAAATAGTGAAGATGATTGTGATAACCAGAATTGTATATCCTGCATTATATGGTGAAAACTCATGGCGAAGATGCCTTACAACGAAAACACAAAAGATAATGACTGGGACGATGATTAGCATTAAGGTGACAAGCAGTGACCTAGCATCAGGGCCAAAAATCAACCTCCCGCCAAGAAAAAATTTCTGCAAAGATGGACAATAGATATGTCATATACAAAAAACACAGATATAGTTCAACACAAGTGTTGTTATGTCAATTAAATAAAACTAAAAGTCAAACCACTTAGATTAACAGGTTCTGCACAAATAATTGTAGCAGAAAGATCAAGCATATGAAACATTTGTCTCAATGAATATCTGAAGTCACAACTGAAAACTTGATGAATTTCTGCTTCTCCAACCGTAAAATGCAAGCATTTCAGTTATCATATTTGGTCTCTCAGCAGTAAGAGGTTAGGAATAAGACCTCCCCCTATTGGGCAAATAGAAAACTATATATAATAACATTTATCCCATCTTCAAACATGCAGGAGAAACAATCAGTCCAAGAACTCAGTGTCATTCACCACACCCCCACACATGCACACACACAGAAGAAGAAGAACAATTCGGGAGCTCATTGACTGTTAGCCATCATACAGATCATCTTTTACATGGCCCAATTCAGAGAGCTGCCATTTCACCCACCCCCCAAAAAGAAGAACAATTCTGCAACTCATGTATTGTAGAAGTCACCTTTTTCAGGTGACAAATATACAGATTTTCCTTTGCATGGCCCCAGTCAGAAATCCTGTATTGCCACAGTCACGGGTATACTGTACACTAAGCACCATAGGTATTAGCTATGATAGCCAGTTCTTACATCTGTTCTGCCTCCCCCAACCAACCCCCAACGGATACACCTATTTAAGATTCCATTCTCGATAAATTCCTGTTCTCCAACAAAATAACAAGAGTTTAACATAAGACTCTCTAGATTTCATTTTTCGAATAGCAGAACTCTTCTCAAAATTGTCCAACATAGCTAGAAAAGTAGGTTTATAGGCAGAATCAGCACCACAACCAGAGACCCAAAAAAAATAAAAAAAAATGCACCACCTCTGGGCAGTATAAAGTCAAGTGCAGGTTGAATTCTTTTTACATCATGATGCTTGCATAATTTCATAAACGGGTGATTGCGAGACTTGAACTAATGACCTCCATGTACAAGCCACCAATATAATGTTCAACCAACTCATCTAAAAACTTAATAAAGAGGAAACACATTTATTTATTTCAACATTTCCTATTACAACACTATACCCCTAGTGACAAAAAACCAATATTACACAATAGAAAATAGATTTTTTAATTACCCATTGAATTCCACGACCTTTTAACTTTGCTAGGTTCATACCCACTCCTACGTAATCGAAATTAATGTCAGAAATCCAGTGGTTCCAGTGCTAATAGGCAGTGAAACTCCCCAGAAATATGGTAACGTATTAAAGAACAATTTATGCTAAACCAAAAAATTAAGCAAAACCCAGAAAATCTGAATAAAACCCAGATAGTAAAAAGTCTCACATTGCTTCCTTTCCAAACTTCGTGCACGCGCTTAGCCATCTGGAAAGAACGAAGGAAAAGAAACAGAGACGCCCGCACGCTGCTCTCTGCTAGGCTGGGAAGGAGTTGAAGATTCGTAACTTGCAGTAACCGTCCATCCTCCCCTTTCACGAAAAATACCACCGTGAGAGTGAATCCTTTAGTGTATAAAAAAATCCTATTAACAGCTAATATTGAAATCGTTGATGGGGTAAGGTGAGTTTGAAAATTTTTGGTCGTTTTGTGGGTTTTCTTTCGGGATTTTTCAAAGGGTCTTTGGTTTTGTGATCTATGTGTGTTGGATTTGGAATTTGGAGGTTTACTGAGTCAGTATTTTAATGGAATGTTTATGGGGAAAAACGCTAGCTTAATCATTCTCTCTTCCTGTGTCACCAGTTGGAGTAGTGTGAGAGAGAGGCAATAATTAATTCCATCCGTTACAAAAAATAATTAAAATTTCAAATTTCTTTAGCAATTAAAGTTGTATATAGCATACATTTTCAATTTTGGCATTGGGCTTGAAATTTATACTAAAATCATGCATGCGAGGTGGCGACAACTAGGGAAATAAGTCATTGCCAAGTGCCAACAACGTATTAAGGGAGAATTGCAGTAGGGTCCCAAATTTTTCATATTTTTGTAAATTATACTCAAATCTTTCATTTTTGTATCCATAGTCCCAAACCTTTCTTATTGATTGCAGTTGGAGGACATATGGATAAAATCCGTCCATTTGACCGTTAGTCAACCAAAAAATCAATTTAACCACAGTTGGATTAATTTTAAAAGATTTTATATTTTTTCAACAAACTTATTAAAATTATAAATAAAATAAGCAAAATTTAAAAATAAAAATAAAAATATTGAGAACTAATCATCTTCCTCCCCACCTCACGGATCGAATCATGATAGAGTTTTCTGAATCTTGACCTCCACATGGTAATTTCTCCCTTGAGAGTTTGAAAATGTTCAAATCAACCCAAAATCTAGAATAATCTAATACACATACCAAATTAAGAATTACAATCACAGAAATTAGGGTTTTTAGGGTAGATGAGTTCTTGATTAGAAAATGCCAATCCTTATAAGGTAAAAGAATTTATTGAGTCAACTCTTTGAAGTTGAGCATCTCGAATTATTGAATCTTTGTTCTAGGTTATCGATTCACCATTTATGATTAATGGTTAAGTTTTTGTGTGTAATAAGTTCTACTAAGTACGAAGGGAATGCAATTTGAATAAAAAGGTGATTTTGTTAGAATAAACCAGTTTTCATCTTCCAATGTTGCTTTTTCTTTGTGGAGAGAGAGGGTTAGCAATGGTAGCACCGATGTTGCCGGCGTGGATTTTGGTTTGATTGATTGTTAGAGGTGAGGTTAGAAAGAATATGAACGATTCTCATACATTTTTATTTAATTTTTAATTAGTTTATTCAAAAATATAAGATTACAATATTGTCATTTTAAAATTAATCCAAATGTGGTCAAATTGATTTTTTTGGGTCGACTAATGGTCAAATGAATGTATTCCATTCATATGCCCTTCAATTGCAATCGAGATGAAAGGCTTGGGACTATGAGTGTAAAAATGAAAGATTTGGGTAGTTTGCAATATTTTAAAAGGTTTGGGACCCCAAGTGCAATTCTTCCTCTTTTTAAATAAGGAAATTTTTATATTTTGTTATCAACTTTTACAAAATGTGGTATATCTATCCTTAACCATTTTTTTATTTTTATTTTTTTGGCATAATTCATCTCCAATATTTTAATTACCGGGCATTCCTTTCATTTTGGTCATTAAACGATGGATTTGTCCTTTTTATTAAATGAATAAAAACAAAAAAAGCATTTAAACAAACAAGAATAAGAAAAAATTACAATTGGAATCTCATAATTTCTCAAAATAATACAACTAAATCTATTTTAAAATAGTTAAATAAATAATATCACATTAAAAATTTTGAAAATTATTCATCTCCTTCAATTAAGTTCACCTACCCACCCGTTTATATACTCATAAACATTTATTAATTTTCCCTAACGCCATTTAGATTTTAGATGAGATGGTAAAATTCTGATACTACAATATTTACTGAAAACTTCGATGCAACTTTTTGCAACTATAGAGAGACATGCTAATTTTAGTACAGCTCACGTTCTTGTAACATATTCTGCTGAAATTGCATCACTTCCATAAAATAGAAGAAAAGGAACTCAATTTTATCATTTGCTGTGTGTAATTTAATAGAATTACCATAACATATACAAGAGACTTGTCAAGTATATTTCAAAAGGAAAAACTCCCTGTATTAAAAAAATGAAATAGCCGTGACACATACTAAGTGGAATGAGGCAAAAAAATACTGAACAAATTGCTCCAAGTACACTGAAACATTAGCTACAAAGTTGACAGTGGTTCAAGCCTCGAATGTTGATAAAAACTCATTCCAGATCTACAATTCCAAAGTTGGAGAGGAGAATTTTAACTTGATCAACGAAGTCCGACCCTGTTGCATACTTTGTTAACGTTCCCACAGCAAAACCAAACGTTGCCCATCTGTTCAACTAATATTGGACACACATAAATGATCTTATACAACATGAATATAGAGCTAAGATAAATCAAGATCAGACTAATAGTCGTGTCTGGTGAAAAATAACATGAATACCTTCATAAGAAGCCATGTTTGACACTCAGTATTGCACACAATTAGACAATAGATTTTTCTTTTTTTCTTATTTATCAGTGAGACTAAGCATGACTTGAATTCCAAATGAAAGGCATTAAGGCCACGAAGGAATGAGCTAAGGTGATTCTCTTCTGTCTATTTCTCTTTTTTCTTTATGATCTCAAGTTAGTTGTTTCTCAACTCACTTGAAGAAGAAAGAGAAAAATAAGGTTCTAGTAGAAACAGGATGCAAGCATTAGCAAGTGCATTAAGGCTAATTATGGAGATGTAGAGCACCACTTCTGCAATTAGTTTAAGCTAGTTAAAGAGACTCAGACCAGCCAACAACCTAAGCGTGATTTCAACTAAGAATCAAATTTTGCATGGCACACAAACCAAAGATGTTTTAATTTCAAATTTGCAAGAGTAAAGAGCAATGAGACTGATGCTGAAATCATCTTGAGATTAATTTTCTCATGAATCTTATGAGTGTACAATAAGACACAGGTATGTCCTCTACTATTCTATGAAAGCTAGGTAGAATGAATCTTATTTGATTGTAAGGCACGGACATTCTTGTCTTACTTTGATCCTCAACAATGCTGTGTTCACCAATTTGATAACATTACTAGGTTCAGAACTTGGAATTTGACAGTGATTATTTTTAACTCCACTGATATTGATTTCTACCTAAGTTGATGACATGTTTATTCTTAATACCACTGTCTCCCTCGCCCCTTGTCCAAGTCTCAAATGATACACAGATTGTCTTCAAAGTCCTTCCCATCGAACTTTCTAGTTTAATGTCTTCCACTTTTATGCAGAGCTAACCAAACAATCAAGTAGAATTATGAAACTACAAAGATTATATAAAACGAGTTTTACAGTTTTTGGAATGTTCTTGTCGCCATAGGGAGAATGGAAAAGCATTGGTGAAATTTGTTAGAGATGATGGCATTTACCTTTTGTCTAGAAATCAAAGCAATCTTTTCTGGTACTTTCCTATACATTATTCAAATATTTCTTATTTAAAAAACTTAAGATGGGATAGTGTAATTATAAAAAGAAGCGGGTGGTTAGACAAGGTTTTCATAAAATTTGAATCCGATTAAGAGTTATCCTACTCAAAACACTGGATAGACGTAATGAAAAAGTAAGGTACTCAATATCACAAAATCAAGACATTTGCAAATAAGCAATTGGTGGTTCTCAAGCAAGAAATCAAAAGCAACACATGTATAAAAGCCTTAAAGAGTTGTGACCTTTTCACGCAGGAAAAAATTAGGAAAGACGCAACCATCCATGTGGGGTTATGATTCTACAAAGCAATGTCTATCCCAACCATTCCAACACTCCGACTAAAATTGAACATAAATAGGCACAATCTCATTCATCCAAAGAACGAAAATAACTCTCCGGTTTCAAATCTCTTTAATTTGTTTGTTCAGGATCATTGATCACCATTCTAACAACAAATTCACACAACCCCATGTGTTTCTTCAATATAGGCCTCTATTCAAAGTCATTATATACATCGATAAGTACTAAAATCCTCATTGTATTGCATGTACAGAAGCTTTAGCATTGGCAAGTGCACAAGGCTATTATGGAGCACATATAGCACCACTTAGAAATCAGACCTCTATGTTTTCCAAGTAGAACCAACAATTTCCTGTGTAATTTAATTGAAGAGTGAAAGCAGAAAAATGATGGGCTTCTGACTAAGCTAGTAAAATTTTGTAGCCCAGACACAACTAAGGGGTTGGGATCATTTGGCAATCAATTTTAGAGCAAGGTCTACATGGGCACCAAGAATATATGATTTCCAACAAGTAACATGAGGTGAATAATTTTCATCTCAATTATATATCTTCAGTTCATTATCCAATGACTAATTTTCTATCAAGATTCAGTAATCCGAAAAATAAATCATCTAGAATATGGGTCCTAATCCAATTACACAAAATATGATCATGAAAAAATTGAAAAGTTACTAGAGAGAGAAGACTATTACCTGCCATTGGAAATTTCATTCTTGCCAATGAACCCAAAGAAAGGACCCTGATCAGCTTCTTCTTCTTAAAGTACTCTTGCGGCTCCTTACCTTAGCCTTCTGTCTCTGAAACTCCAAAGTAATCACATTCTTTTCCGCAACCGCTACCCGTGCGGCCGTGCACTTGGAGTAGGAGAAGTAGCCGTTGGTGCCGATGGTGGTGGTGGTGGTGGTGAAGATGGTGGACCTGGCTTTAAAGGTGGAGGAGCCACCGGTCTTCTGAAAGGGCCTTCAGCTTGCGAATTCCTGAGGGCTGAGGGTAAAAATGGTTGTAGGATTGGATGCAGAGAATCTACAAGCGGATGATGAAGATGAACAAGGTGGAGATGATAAAGGATTGCGAAATTTGAAGCATGGGAAAGAAGGTGATGATGATACTGACATTTTTTCTATATAAAATTCTGTAACAGTTTTATTGATAATTGTCGAATACTAATATTTGCAATTGATTACTGTCATCCTATATCCTATATGGCATACATATTATACATCAAATCATTAATCATTACATGTATGTTACGTAGGATATCTATAATATTAAGCAACTACAAATAACATTATTCGATAATTTATTGGTGGGAGTGTGAAGAAATGGCAGAGAAGTTCGGGTGGTGGATTTGAGAATTTGGTGATTATTTGCCGGTTGATGGATAAGACACGGCCAAATTTGTGTGCGACGGTGGTTAGTCTACAAGCCACGTAAAGAGCAAACTTATAATCAATTATAAATTTATAATTTTTGACAAACATGAAATCGAGTTAATTATTATAATGATCACTGAACTTAAGTTCATATCTTTAAATGACCACTAAAGTTTAAAATGTCAGTTTTGGTCACTGAACTTAGGTTCATATTTTTTATTGCTAACTGAACTTAAGTCATGTCTTCGATTGCTCACTGAATTTAAAATGGTGAATTTTGATCATTGAAGTTTGGAATATGATCTGCGTTACTCACTAACATAACTGTTGAACTTTGAAAAATATCGAATTTACAGTGAGTAATATACAGTATTTTTCAAAGTTCAATGAGTGATGTACAATATTTTTCAAAGTTCAGTGTCCAAAACTCAATATTTTAAACTACAGTGAGCAATCGAAAATATGGACCTAAGTTCAGTGACCATTGGAATAATTAACTCCATGAAATCAATAATACATCTTTATAACCCTTTAAAATCTTAAGCGTACACGCTTTTATTAAAAGTAACAAAAATAAAAATAAAATAGTGACGAGACTTGATTTAAAACCTTTTTTCCCCTGTTTAAGTTCTTTAACCCAAATGCTTGGACTTTATAGTTAAAGTTAAAGGACTTCTACTAACACCAAGACAAAGATACGGTCACATTAACACGTCCATTTATCACTACTCCACATTATTAAAGTATTAAAAATATGCATTTTAATCCTTTTAATAAGAATATTATTACAATTCTCATTTAACGATTTTCATTTCAAGGGTGTCACATAGCAGTTAGGGTGCATATGATTAAAATAACATGATTTTCAGTACTTCCAACCAAGACAAGCAAGACGCGATTGAAGAAGAAAGACGCGTATTATATACATTGAAGAATAAATACATGGTTGAAAAAGAATGACGTATACTATATAGATTGATCTTGTTCATCGGTTCTGCCCGAATCCATGTTACTAGTTTCAATTGGTTTTTTGTAGGTTGCAGGTAGAAGCAGTGGGACTGAAGCAGAAGGAAGCCAAAGATACTCCGTAGTGCTCTTCTGTAGAGAAGATAGCCATTGTTACGGCTTACAGCTCTTTACAAGATCTTAGGGTCATAAATAGTGGTGTCAGTCGGCTGGGCTGGTTAACGTGCCATAATACCAAGCCTGGCATGGCTTGGATGAGCGCGGACCTGTCTCACGCCCGGGTCCACGCTCTTCCAGTCCAGGCCGGACCTGGCGAACCAACCCAACTTTGATACCAAAACATGTAAATCACTACATCAGTGTCCAATCCTTTACATGGTAGAGAGAACATCACTTTAAGAGCACATGATCTTTGTAAAATAGAGAAGTAATAGTAAAAACTAAAACAGTAATTTTCCAGTCAATAAGCAATATATGTTTGATTAATACACACTGGCAATCCTGAAAAGATAAAAGTCAACCCCTCACAAAATCGCTAAGGAAAGCAGTGAAATGCTGTTAGTTGCAACCCACAGGTAACTTCTGCTTTTCATAGTAAGTGCACAGAAGCTATACATTGGTTTTGAGTTACAATCCTACTGCATATTGACATCTGCAACTAACATACAGAATCATAATTCGATTCAGCCTCCCAGCAGAAGAAAAGACATAATATTCCAAATCAAGATGAGAAAAATAGATGAAATTGAAATTCAAGCAAGAATATAAATGCAAAAGATCAATCAACAAAAGCCAGGGAGGGATATAATCTCCGTTTTTTGGGCCCAAAAAATCTCCTGTGTTGCTCCAATTGCAATGCAAAGCACTGATAAGTTGATCTTTACTCGGTGGAATTTTGAGCAACATTTCATTCGTTGCCTTCTTAAAGAAGCCAAGCCCATAAGATGTCCTAATAGAAACCCAAACTACATTATTGTGCATGAACAAGTCCTTTCATTCCCAGGGTCAAATTCACTATCATCATCACTGCAATCACATGGAATGTATCAATTAACACATCAGAAAAGAGCACTCATGTAAATAAATAGATCTCATAAGAAAATCGCAAACATTAGTCACTGCACATCTCCATGAAAGAAGATTTGAAAGGTGAACACACATTAGTCAATAATAATTGCACATAAAGTAGTATAATGATTTATGAGCTTAACTAAAAATACAGATGCCAAAAGTTGGTATAAAGGGTCAATTAGATAAGCACGGGCTGTGGAAATCAAATGACAAAACTACTAACATGAGCATAAACAGTAACCCGAGGCAGCACATTTCCAATCAAATAAGATAAACTTATCAACTAATTTTTGAACTAATCACCAACAAAAAAGGTTACAAAACAAATGGAACACTATTCTTCAAGATGGTAGCTGCATATTAGCAAAACATCCAACTCAAAACTGACATCAAATAAGGGGACCCAAAGGTTTAGCATACTAATTTTGGATGCTGATGCTGATATTGACCAATCTACATTTGATAACAGGAACTACAAAGTACAAAGACAGAAGCAAGTAATGAAGCCTTATCCCTGGTTTTAATCTATTTCTCTATTTTGCTGGGTACAAGGCAAATTCCTTAGTAGAATCTCGATTATTTAATGGCTGATAAATTAATTTTGATTAAATAATATTTTTGGCATGTTGTGACTTGGAGATAATCAGCTAAATTAATAATTCGCTAAATTTATAAGATAATACATTATAAAATTTCAAATAGATCCCACTAATATAAAATAATAATTTCTTGATATATAGTGCTTATGATTCGATTATGAAGCATTCTTAAAATATGACTCAAGCATTGTTTGTTTCTTCTTGAATTGATGTTGCATTGGACCATATCACTAACTTTTCTTAACCTAGTAAGAACGTCTAGTGCATTTTCTGATACTCCAAAAAAATTTATTCAATGTCATCACCGCTTTGAGAGCTTCTTTTTGTGAAATTGGCTACATAATAGAACAATCATCTTTAACTTCACCATCTTGATCATTTTTCATGACACGCTCAATTATCTGCTTGTGAGTCAACATTTCTACAAACGTAATACCTTGACAAATTAATAAGTTATTAATTAATGAATAAATTAATAGATTACTAATTTATCGATTAAATATTTGCTAAATTAATAGATTTTATTTCGTCCTAAGGCTATTAATTAATGAGGTTTAATTGTTGATTATTCAATCAATTGAAAGACCTTGTTTACTACTAATCTTCATTCCCTTTCCAAGTATTACTCATTCGAACATTCACAGGACTTAATTCAACAAGCCAAAACACGTTTTAAACTTCTTTTAATTGATGTCCTATAGATGTTATTTTATCATATCACAAGTTCATGTCTACATTAATGTTATCAAATTCTTAATCCTATCCATTTCCAGCATCCTCATGCTTATTATGACAATTATCTTCATAACCCAGCACCTTGTATGGCAGACCATAGCTGGCCAAACACAGCCTGACATTTCTAAATTAATACTCCAATAATTAATAACCTCTTACATTTAACAAAATTTCATGAAAACAATTACGTTCTACAAGCATAATTTGATATTTCTGCTATCTAATAATTAATAGCGACAACAATTAAAATAATTAACAGAATCACATTCCCTAGAGAACCATATATCTATTATGCCACAGTTCTTGGATGCTTAGCCATGAGATCATTTGAGGCCATGTTTTCATATAGTCGGTGCTTAGCAAGGATGTACCCCTATAGATACTAGACTCTTGTTTTCATCTTTGTGGTATTTCTAAAGTTTCACATGCACCCTATAAATAATAGACTCTTCTCACAAGTTTTGTATTACTGAAATATTGGCACACTAATTATACTTGTTTTGTCAATATTAGTCAATTGAATAAAATACTCTATTTCTCTATCAATTAATTCCTTGCTTTCTATCTTGTTGTTTGTTTACGATCATACACTTCATACCGTATCATATACATTATCTCGATCCGTTTTATTCCCCAACAAGTGAAATTTGAGCTATTGATTATGATTTGTTCGAGGTTTTTGTTATTTATGACAGTCATGAAGTATAAAATTTTGCTCTTGGATTATAATATAAAATTCTCGTTGTGGCAAGTGAAGATACGAGCTATATTCGTGCAGATGGATTTGGATGATGTGATGTGATTTGACAAAATATCCACAACTTGGACAATGAGGAGAAACAACAGAAGAAAGAGAAGGCACTTTCACATATCCATCTTCATCTCTTTAACAATATTTTTAGGAAGTTTTGAAGAAGAAAACAACAGTTGGATTGTGGTTGAAGTTGGAGTAGTTGTGCATGACTAAAAATCTTACAAACAAATTACATTTGAAGCAAAGGTCATATTCTCATCGCATGGATAAAAGCGGATCTCAAGGAAATCGTCGCTGATTTGAAGAATTTAGAGATAAAAGTATGATAAAGAAGATTTGGCCTTCATCATTTTGTGTCCACTACCCGCTTCGTTTAGAGACACTATCTTGTATGGTCGTGATACGCTCACCATTGAAGATGCGTATGATGCCTTATTTTCAAAAAAGAAGATGAAACATCTGGTTGGATCTGAAGTTAGAGATGGAAAAGGCCTTTTTGTTCATGGTGATCAGAGAAAGGGTAAGTTGATGTCAAACTTCAGTAATCGGGATTGTTATTATTTCAAGAAGAAAAGGCACATTAAGAGGGATTGCAACAAATTGTAGAAGAAGGTCATTTGAACTGGGAAGCAATCAAATACTCAAATGAGACCAACATAGCGGAGAACTATTTGACTAATGGAGATATTTCGACAATTTCTGACATGAAATCCAAACCTGATTTTTTGTAATTTTAGGGAACCCAATCTTTGGGTTCATGTATTCGTGTTGGATGCTGTGAACGAAGAAGAGTATTTGTGTTGGAAGAAGTTTTGTTTTGGTTGAAAAGTTCGAATTTTTCGTTGTAGTCGGATTTATTTTTTTAGGCGGAGAAATTTTGGAGTTTCATTCGTTACATAAGAATTTATGTCAAGGTAGAGATTGTTGAATTTTTTTACTCAAATTAGGTTGAATTTTTTTGAAAAAATATCGTTTCCTTTATTCCACGCGCTTTTATTGGAAAAATATTAATTTCCTTTATTCCACGCATTTTTATTGAAAAAATATTGTTTCCTCTATTCCACGTGATTTTTTATCTTGTTTCCATCTTTGTGGTATTTCTAGGATTTGGCATGCACTCCTATAAATATTAGACTCTTTTAACACGTTTTCTTCATATTAGTTAATTGAATAAAATACTCCGTTCTCTATCAATTAATTCTTTGCATTTTATCTTATTGTTTTTTTGTGATCATATCCTTCATATCGTGTCATATATATTACCTTGATTCCACTTTATTTCCCAACACAAGCTCATTGTTATCAAATTAGCATTGATGAAGACTTTTTAATTACCTAGAATATAGTGACATTAGAAAATAGACAAGAAATATTTTTTTAAAGTATATGTTTTACAAATATAATCTTCTCTAGAAATACATAGAAGTGGCTACACAAAAATGTAATGGAGAACATCATGGCTATCATGAAGACCTAACTCAACATGGATACAACATGACAAAAGACTCAACGTGATGGGTTCATCGTGGGGAACAAGTAATGCATCATTGTTATTATCATCATCTTTTGGTTTTATTTTATTTTTACCTTTTTGGTGTGTGTGTGTGTGTAGGTGGGAGTAGAGGAGAGTAGAGGAGGGGGAGGGTTGGGCGGATAATGGAGATTCTATTTAGTATATGAGAAAGAAAAATACATTAAGACAACATTGACAGAAGGGATTAAAGGTTAGACACTATGATATCCCAAGGACAATAGTAACAATCCTAAATAGCACATGCAGCCTCCCCTGAAGCATTCATGCCCGTTATTTGGGTATAAAATGAGGAAGTGAATGCAATTTCTTACTAAGAAAATCAGCCACATCCTACAACCTCCTCGATGTTCAACTCTAATATCATTTGAAACTGCTTTCAAAAAGATACATGTTTACCTAGAAGATATAGTTGAATGCTAACAATTTCCTAACAGTCTTGGTAACAAGATCAACTTCAATTGCCTACCTACATTACAAACTGAAGTCGTTCTCCCATATCTGATAGAAAATTGCAGCATGTCACATGCTTAAAAAATTATGACAGCTCTTATTATGACAAGCCAAGCTAAAAATGTCACATCACGTTCTTAAAGTACCGAAAGAACATTCTACTGCCAGAGCTCAGGAGGTGTTGCTGTAGTGTGTGTGTGTAGCAATTAGAAACCCTTGATCACTGCCACATCTTTAAATAGTAGATATTACTTTACTTGCAGTGAAAAAAAAGGAGTTGCCTGGGTCAAGAAACTCATCATTGATATGATCACAAGTTAAAAAATAATGTGGGTCAACAGGTATATTTAGGTTTTACTAATCAAATGTATTCATGATAGAATAATAAAAAAATATTTGTTGACATGGCATAACTCTTAAAGACATCATATACAAGGTAAACTGTACATCTTTAATGATCAATAGATGTCTTTAACCATGATTGTGTCATGAATCTAAGATCTTCTAGGTTGGGAGGTCTATTACTATGGATATTGTCGTTCTTTTGACAAGCCAGAGCAATCATAATTTTTTTTTTTTTATAAACGTGAGTGTTCAGGCCAACTTTCGTGCACCTCGACTAATCCTGCGGTGCCCTGAAATTTACAGTCGGGTACTCACCTCAATGACCCTAAGGGAATTCGAACTGGTGACTATTGGAGAGTAAGCCTAAGGCTTGACCACTGAACTACTCCTCAAAGTTAAGTCAAGGCAATCATAATAAAGGGAACCAGAATCTCAGAGGGCTCTAAACTCCCCAAACAGCTCTAATGTAAAAATTTGAATACTTAGCATAATAACAAGAATGTCAAGACCCTAAAGACAGCATTCAATCATTGTTAATCTGATCTCTAAAAATTGTCACTGTTAATCACAAATTCTGAACACTACCAATTTTCCCCAACCCCAAAGAAACTTCAAATAAAACCAGGAACCTCAACCGAATTTATCAAAGCTTCTTGCTTTGATAAAGCAGATTTTATGTGTCTTACGGTGTCAAACTACAACTTAGCCTCCCTAAATTTCAATCTATAACTATTAAACCAAACTTCAAATCATACTGCCAAAACAATAGAAATGATGACCAGTCAAGTTACAACTAGAACATGTATATGACATATAAGGAGTGGCATTGCTCAATGCAACATTTTTGGGCTGCCATGACAAGAAAGTTCAAATTTGGCATTAACATGATCTATGACAAACAGCCATTGCCGTCAACAATTGATAACTTCACTCATGTTAACAATATTGTAGGCTCTGAATTATGTGATCTAGCCGATAAAAAGATATGGCATGATATATCAGATAAAATGCAATTCATTACTGCAGGAAAGGAAAATTCTAAATTCACATATTCGGGCATGCATAAGAGTGGAAAACAAGAAAATAGAACCGCACTGCTCAAGAAGAAACAAAGGGCCGAAACCACTAGACTCATATTGTTAATATAAAAATGAAGCATCTGAAGCTCTCTCACCTCATCTCAAATTCCCGGACCTGGTAAAGTTCCCCTCCAGACGTGTCTGTCCACTGCACTTTCCTCCTTTCCATTTGACTATCAATTGTTTTATGCTTTTCAGATGATTCTTCGGGTTCAACACCACCACCACAAGTAGTGGAAGGTTGAATGTCATTCAATGGTTTCTTTAAGCTACTCTTGAGACTAATCTTTCTACCCCTATCATCATCATCATCAACAACAAGATCAGCTGAATCGGTTTCACTCTTACTCTCATAAAAAACAATGGGCTCCGGTGAGACTTCTTGTTGTTGGATAGGGCCCACTTTCAGAGGGGATGGGCTCTCAAGTCCTGCGGCAGTGTGACCAAAGCACACAAAGGAGGCACAGCCGCGGACAGCCCCATTCTTCGTGGAAGCCAGCTGGAGATCAGGATTCGTCCCTTGGTCCACCAACTGGTACTGATTCCACGGTGTCACTCTCATGGGTTTCTCTTCGTTCCTCTGACCCAAAAAAAGAAGGGTTAGGCCCTTACTGTATCCAGATGCTGAAGATGAGAAAAATCCTCCTCCTTCCACTGCCAATAACATCAGTTCTTCTCATCTGGGCACCACCCAATTACTTTCTTTACATTATAATCGCCTCAAATCAACCTAATGCACCTGCCATATGAACAATTACTTCAAAACATAAAACAAAAAAAAAAAAAAAACAAAAAAATTCCGCGGTTCTCTGTACAACTACACAAAATTATCGAGTTTCTGATGAAATGTTAGAGATAACAGACTGGTCTGAGACCAGCCAGATAATTGGAAGTGGGGAACAGATATATACCCCGACAAGAGTGTTTTTGGGCTGGTTCTCTCTAAAAAAATTTCCATTCAGATTATTATCAAAATAATTTCGGAAAGTGCTAGTTCTACTTCATTCGCTTGGATTTCCCCCCGAGATTTACTAACAAAACCACCTTAATTTAACATTAAGTGAAGATCAATCGAACAAGCATTTAAAAAATAACAGAGGAGAAGGGGAAAACTACTCTCAGATTCAACTAAAAAGATTATTGTTATTGGAAATTGACAGCAACAACCTTCCCTTCTAACAAATGGAATGAAATTTTAAAGAATAAGCAACAGTTCAAATAAAAATCGCCATCTATTTACAGTAGCAGCAACTATAAAGTCGAAGATCTCTTCACTATGAAACAAGTAGGGAGCAATTTCAACACGCACGTATGAATATAGTTCACATTAATATATCGATGATGTACATAACGATATATATACAGAAAGAAAGAGAGACTAACAGAGATCTCTGGCAACAATTCACCGGACAGGCGATGCATCACCGATTGACCACAAAAATCTTGAGTAAACGTATAAAACCAGTATAAAATAATTGCTTGAAAAGTCGAACGAAAATGATTTCTGGTAATCTATATACGCAAGGTCACAAAGACGCAGAGATAACTTACGACAGTAAGGAAATTGAATGAGTGATATTACCAATTAAAGGAAAAATAGGGGAGAGTGAACCTGTGGCGCATGATAGTGGGTCCATCAATTTTTTGCTTTATTAATCATTATTATAAAATGTCTTGGATAAGCAGGCTGATGTGGCTTTTACAGAGGTGTCAGGTTTGTTGCCGCATATTTATTTCTTGTCCAAAAATTGAAAATCAAAATTTTAATCTAAATTAATCCCCTGCTCGCCCCATGTTGGTGAAATGAAAATGAGTGAAATAATAATTTTTTAAAAAATGAGTGATTAAAAAAGAAAAAAAAAATTTCGATTATTTCTAATATTATTTTATGAAAGAATATGTGTTTGACAATAAGAGAAAGAAAAATGAAATGTAATGGAATGGAAATTAATAAGAACCAAATGAAGGCTAAAATTAATGATTAATTTTATTCACATTTATGAGATTCACAACTTTAACCACATATTTCATCATTTGTACAAAAATTTACTAAAACTCCAATTTTAATTTTCACCAAACAAGGGCCTAATAACATACCAAAATGCGGGTGCTGCACCAAACACTGGTGGTTGTTTCTTGTTGTAAGTGAATGCAACGAAAAGACCCGGAAATAACGAATAATGAAACAATTCATATATTGACATTTCTTGCTCATTTCAAAATTTCCATTAACTTGTTCAACTGCTAAGAAGAAGCACTTTTTTCTTGCTTGAATGTGGCACTATGCAATAACTTGTAGTTGTGGTATATCTAATTGCTTGTAAGTTCAATATTTCATGTTTTACTTCACTCCTTGATGCAAGTCTTTTCACCAACTCCTAGTTAGTCTTGTGAGATATTCCTTGTTGATTCATACAAATTTTTCTTGTATATTGTGTTCACTGGAGGATCCACGTGGGGTCATGTGGGGTCAAATGACCTCACAGATTTTTGGATTTTCCTTGCTTAAAATGTAATTTTCTGTCAAAATAGTGAGACAATCCAATTAATTTCCCTAACCCAATGACCAAAAAGCCCAAACTCAAATCCAATTGTAGTAGCATATGGTTTTATTTTCGTTAATGATACGTTGTTCGAAAAAAAATCATTTTTGACCCCACAATTCGAACTGTTTGGGTCCGTCCTTAATTGTGTTTTTCATATCTGAACGTAAATTAGTAAAAAAAAAAAATTATTTGTACAGATGAATTCTATAGACAGCTTTACAAATGATGACATGAACGAATTTTAACAGTTGGATTAACTGTATTTTTATGTCAAAAATGATGTGAGATTTTGTCATTTGTAATTTCCGTAAATCAGATGGTAAATCAGGTTATACACTTATACATATGGCTTTTCTCAATTAGTAATGCTTTTGTTTCTCTCTCTTCATCATCAACTTTTGAAAAAGTAGTGAGTTATTGGGTAATTAGAGGAGAAAGGTTGCTTTTGTTCGGTTGTCCGCAGCTGCTTTACCTTTAGGGACACCTGCGCTGCTTTTGTTGTAGTCTCTTCTTGCAATGATATTCATACATGCCTTGTACACACGTTTATGTTGTTTGGCTTAGGATCTTATAATATAAATTAAAGTCAATTTTACTTATAACTAATTTTTTATTTTTTTTGTTACACTAGTAATCAACATGCCTCCCTCCGTATGGCATGATGGCCAGTTGAGATGGGTATCAAGTCGAATAGTTGTTACTTTTAATACTCATTATAATTACACAATAATGTGAAATATCCAATCAATTGTATAACTAGGCAATCACGACTACGTATATACATTGATATGAAGTATATAAACAAGGAGACTATAGTAACAAATATACCTTGGTATAAAGTATAGGACTCAGAGGTTTGGCAAGTAGATATGATTGGCCTACATGCTGTAGGAATACTGATTGCCTGAATTAAATTACTTTGCCCAAAATTTTTTGACACAATGATTGACATCCTCTCGCATGCGTGTGAGTCCACGTGAATAAAAAAAATCTAAAAAAGAAGTGGGTCCCCTCTCATTATAAGCTTTGATCAACCATTATGTCAAAAAAATTCGAGCAGTATAGCATGATTCGTCAAGTAGCTAGCTACCTAGCCAGCATTGAAAGAAAAGTGGACAAATCATTTATTCATTTTAAAAGAAGTGCAAACTCAAATACCGAGTCCAACCCGTCCAACTACTTTCCATTATATAAAATTAGGCAAAAAAGATGACGAAGAAATGCTTACGTCTTTACTTGGCCAAAACTTTATATATTTATTTTTTTACATCTCGAGTGTTTGAGCGTACATAACTATTATAATTCCCTTGTTGAACAATGAAGCACGTAATTTTTGTTTTAAGAGTGCATATTTTTTAATGTGGACGTCATTGATTTCTCTTCTGATTAGAATTAGATTTGACTAATTTATAATGTCAAGCATACTTAAATGTGACAAGCTTGGATGATGTCCACGTCGTGCAAAGATTTTATAATATTCATGTCTTGTTTCTTAATTAATACAAATATTATATAAATTTTCAACCATAATTTAATTTAATAATATCATGATCTTTTGAGAATATTACAATTAAATTCCTCTTAAAGAAACAATATTATACACAAGTGACGTGTATACTGAAAATCTAAAAGTTTTTTTTCCATCAAATATTTCATTTTTGTTAATATAAAAAAATTAGCAACGGTAAATGGATTTGACTTTTTTCTTCCAAAAATTAATTAAACTACCTAGATGAAAATGGGGTGAGTTTGGGACAGGATCGCATTCCTCTTTCGCGTCCTCCACCCCGTCCTCATCACAACTTTGGTGGAGTTGAGGGACTTATATCCCTTTTAATAAATTTTTTATTTTAAATATCGTGAATTATTATATTATATAAATTACATTTAACTAAGTTGTGATTATGAATTATTAATAAGAGTGGTAGGTTTTTTCAAGTGAGAAGGAATGTGTTGATACACTAAAAGTGTAGTCCAAATCAAATAGCCCAAAGAGTGAAGTTCAATTGGGAATTCAGGATAAAGGTTCAAACAGGATTATTGATGTGCGGTGGAAGCCCACGAATACGGTAACATCATCGCCCAAACTTGCAAGACATCCAGAATCTGAGCGAATAGCTTCCCTTACGGTCACCCAAAGCGATGACCGCGTTCTCGCCCAAACCTTCAAATCGCCCAGGATCTTGGCAAACATAAAACATTATAATTATCTAGAATAGCAGTTATTGAGTGGTCTTATCACATTCCACGAATCAAGGAGCCCAGTTGAAGGCGGTTGAACGACAAAGAGTAATAACGACAACTAGGGACGGCAGTTCCCCTACAAGTTAGCCACTATAAAGAAAGTGGGTAGTTATACAGCAATCAAGCAGTTTTCAAGCAGTTGTCACGAAGAAATCATCAAAGGAATATAAAAGGAAGAGAAGACATAGAGAAGAAAGACCCCGAATCAAACACTCTCAAATAGAGAATATATAATTTCAATTTCTTAGTTTAAACTTAAACATTTCTTTCAGTACTCGTATACTTGCGCCCCTTGGAAGCACTCTGTTTAATTCCAATTGTAAATCATCGCCAATAAAACACCTCTTTTTGGGACTTTGTCTCAAGAGGTTTGTTCCTTACATAATCGTCTGATCCCTTTTTAATTGTTAGCGACTACCCGCGCGAAACAATTTGGCATGTCCAGTGGGATCTTTGTATTTGGTGTTGAAAATACAAAAGGTAAAACAATATGTCTCACAAATCTGATAAGGAAGCAGCAAGTCAGGGAGGAGTCCAATCAATGATTGAGCGATATGAGGAGCAGCAAAGCTCTCCACGAACAGAGGAACAAAGTCAGAGCAGTCACAGTCGTTACGAACCAATGACAGAATTGAGTCCTCGAACCATGCGTGCATTGCTTGGAGAACTCACACAGAATGTCATTGAACAGGTAAATTTACGAAATGTTCATATTATGGAAAGATTTACCCAGAATTGGAATACACATTATGACAACATGGCCAAATAACTGAATACATTAAATGAAATAATGAATAGGTTAGTAGGCCAAATTTGTCAGCCAGTTGTGCCTATTGCAAATCACTTTCAAACTAGGACAGTCGTGAGACATAATTCCCCAGTCCTAAGTCCAAATCAAGGGATAGAACCACCTTTCGTCCATCTACTTCAAACCAGGGGATGGTGTAAGGTCAAATCAGAATAGTGGTAATGGTACATCTAACTTGAGGGGTAACCTAAATATAAGAGACAATGTCCTAAATAATGGACAGAATACCCCACGTGTCAATGATGGAATAAATATTCAGGCTAATGACAACAATGGCCCAAATCATGACAACTTTGTTGCCAACCAAGGATCAAACATCAGGCCTCAGGCAAATCAACCGACCAACCAACCTGTAGGAATTCCATATGACCTCAGCGTCATGTTGAGAAACCAAATTATAGAAATAGTACAGGATCAAATGGCTTTTGGGGTACGTCCTCTCATTAGGTCGACTTACACAAAGTCATACCCTGATTGGGTAGACCAAGCATATTTATGGCCTAGAGGGTATAAAGTGCCAGAATTCTCATTATTTATCGGTTTAGGAGAGGTGTTTACTCTAAAACACATAAGGCGATTCGCACTGCAAAGTGGTGAAGTAACCGACTACCATAAAATGAGGTTGTTCCCTAGTTCATTAACAAGAGTAGCCTTCTCTTGGTTCATCAATTTGCCAGCGAATTCTGTCCAAACATGGCAACAATTGGAGCAATTGTTCCATGCTCGGTTTTATAAGACTGAGTCTGAAGTTACTTTGGCGGGTTTGGCGAATCAACGTCAAATGCCAAATGAATGGGTAGAAGGTTTCCTTCAAAGGTTCAAGACAGCAAAAAGAAAATGTTTTGTACTTTTACCCGAAAAGGAGTTTGTCAAAATCACTCAAAGTTGTTTAAGCTTTGATTTGAAAAAGAAATTCCAAGACAGGGAATTTCCTGACCTTTTCCAATTGAGCGCAAACGTGATTAGGTATGAAC